GAACTGCTCAGCTTAAACCCTGTGCGTTGCTTTGAAGATCCAATCCCTGTGCCTGTAATTCAGGGGGGAATAAAAAAAGACAGCCATAAATATTAGCAACAGAGCTAATATCTGCATTGGTTTGTGATATTTTTGGTGTGGAAAAGGAAGGGAGAGTACAACTCTGGTGTTTATTAGCAGCCCTCTTTTGGAGGGTGGGAACTTCAGTTTATCTCTCGGGGGTGAGGATTTGGAATTGACTTTGGACAGCATGAATCGGGCAGAACGGAAAGACTAGGGTGGGGATGAACATGAGAAGGAGAGAAATTAAATAATTTCTGACACATACTTTTTATTATTAAGAAGATGCTCATATATTTGCCCATATAAGCCTCTGAAAATGTAGCCTTTCTTCCCCCAAAGGGCGGGTACGAACACCTGCCACACACGGCTTCTGCAGCTGCCAGCGATTTCAGCTTCCCAAGGTATGGCCTTGCAGCTGCCAGATGAGCCACTTTCATGATTGCAGAGTTCCTATTTTTAATCAGGCTTGCAGGAAATTGTGGGCATCTCTGTTTTATTTACTTGGTTTCAAAATGTTTCCTGCATGAGTTTCTTTTTTCAGCAGAGAAAATAAATTATAGACGGCATTATCTGTGTACTTCAAAAACATTCCCCATTTGGGCAATGGGCTCCTCTTTTTATAGTCTGTAACGTGGGCCTTGAATGTTTAACAAAAGTCCTGAGTTTTTTTTCCACCACTGGCTTCTACGTGTGAATTTTTTTTCTTCTTTATTTCAGAAGTCACATAAATAGACTAATAAATGGAATTTTACTGAGTTTGTATTCAGTAGTATCAAAGAGCTTTCTGTACAGCTATGGTCTTCAACCCCCAGGTTGTTGATACCGGTCCATGGCCTGTTAGGAACCAGGCTGCACAGCAGGAGGTGAGTGGTGGGCCACTGAGGGAAGTTTCCTCTGTATTTACAGCTGCTCCCCATCACTTGCATCACTGCATAAGCTCCGCCTCCTCTCAGATCAGCAGCGGCATCAGATTCTCATAGGAGCACGAACCCTACTGGAAACTGCGCATGCGAGGGACCTAGGTTGCGCGCTCCTTATGAGAATCTAACGCCTGATGATGTGAGGTGGAGCTGAGGCGGTGATGCTAGTGCTGGGGAGCGGCTGCAAATACAGATTATCATTAGCAGAGAGGTTTGACTGCAAAATAAATGCAATGCACTTGAATCATCCCAAAGCCACCGCTCCCCACTCCGGTCCATGGAAAAATTGTCTTCCATGAAACCAGTCCCTGGTGCCCAAAAGGTTGGGGACCGTCACTGATGTGGTCAGAAAAGAGCAAGACCACTTCCTCTTCCTTCCACCATGCTCAGTGAATTCTCATAATATCAAGTCACCAGATAAAGGGGCAAGGTCAAGATTTTTAATTACTACATTTTATCAAATCTGTGAGGCTGCTAAGAAAGAGAAAAAATACTGCCAATTAAGTCTGACATACCGTCAATTGAATGATTTCAGAGATGTTAAATGTAACGAAGCGTGCTTCTTCAAATTGATGAAAAGTAGTCATTAGTCCACAATTATTTCCTGAACACTTTGTGTGCCTGCCCCTCTCTGGATGCCTCAGTGGAAGTGTGGGACATGGCCCTGGTGTCAGAGAATGTTTGGTCCCTTTGAGCAGATGAGACTATCACACACGGAGCTAAAGGACAAATAGCCACCTAAACATAATGGACAGAACTAAATGCCATGGGGCTGCAGAGAAGGAGAACATGGGAGTTGGGAGAAAATCTCAAGGCAGCAATTTTGAGAAACAACACAAGCCTCATCTTAAGGAAGGTCCGAGGGGTGGAGAAAAGCATTCTAGGGAAAGACAAATGATCTGATGTCTGTAGAAAAGATAGTCAATGATGTAGCGTGGGCCCGCTCTGGAACCAAGCTACCTGAATTCAAACCCCAGCTCAGCCTTGGTTTACTGCTTCCTGCTTCAATTTGTCCATTTGTAAAGAAAATTTTTTAAATTCATTACTGTGGTTAGAGTGTTACTTTAGACACAATAGGTAATCAATAGGAATAAACTCAATAATAATAATAATAATGGCATGTGTAGAGGAGGGAAAATGCTTTTCTGTTACCCTCTTAGATTCAATTCCCAGGGCCTGTTAGTTAAACTGATAGAATAACAGGAGAAAAGGCATACATTTTTTGATGTTAATATGTTTGCATGAAGAGGGGTTTCATAGAACACAAAACCCAAAGAAGTGGTTAGAGTCTTGTATACCATTTTAATAAAAGGCGATAAGTTATGGGAAAGTGACTAGACAAAGGAAAGAGGGCTTGGGCCAATAAATTGTGAGAGAGTGACCAGGAAATATGTTGGAAGAAGTGATGGAAGATAAAGGTTATTTTACTAAGGTTTGTTGAACTAAAATCCCTGATCTAGAATACCCTTCCCTGAGCTGGACATCTGGCTTGCTCCTCTGTATTTCCTCTGGCCTTTGCTGAAATATAATTTGATCAGAGACACCTTCTCTGACCACCCTGGTAAAATAGTACCACCACCACTGCTCTGACCCTTTCTATTTCCCTTATCTTACTTTTTGAGGAATAGCTCTTATTAATATGTGTCATTTTATATGCATATTTTTGGTTAATTGTGTGCATGTGTGTGTGTGTGTGATCATTCTCCAACAACTAATAAAATGACATTTGTAGGAGAGCAGGACTCAGATATATAAGAATAAGAGGGAAGAACAAATTCTAAAGGCTAAACAACTTGGGACTGCTGTGTAAATAACACCATCAATGGATTCCACTGCCCCAGATATATAGTCTACTTTTAAAGAGCAATAACAATAACAAAAATTGCGGATCCCCTTGAAGGCAGGGACTATGCCAATTTTAGTAACCTCAGTACTTGCTCATATCCTATTCTGTGAATGACTGAAGAAGAAGCTCTCCCTGGATGGAGATGCCCCCTTGGGGGAACAATATATTTTCCTGGCCTGTTTATTGAAACAACGGCTCAGAGGGCCTGGAACCACTCACTGTAATAAGCTTAACAACTGTAGCCCTCCAAGATATCCAGGTTCTAAACCCTGGAAGCTATGAAGGTCACTTTGTATGCAGAAGGGATTTTACAGATGTAAATTAAAGATTTTGAGATGAGATTATTCTAGATTATTGGGGAGGGCCCTAAATATAATCACAAGTGTTCTTATAAGAGGGAGGCAGAGGAAGATTTGACTACAGAAGAAGAAGCCAACATGATGATGGAAGCAAGATGCTACACTGCTGGCTTTGAAGAAGGAGGAAGAGGCCAGGTGCTAAGAAATGTGAATAATGCAGCACTAGAGAAAGGAAGGAAATGGATTTTCCCCTAGAGCCTCAGCAGTGTGACTTTATCCCTGTGAAACTGATTTCAGACATCTGATCTCCAGAACTATAAGGGAATAAATGTTTGTTGTTTGCAGCCACTAAATTGGTTTTCATTTGTTACAGCAGCAGTAGGAAGCTAATACGCTCATATGGTGCCTCTATGTTGCTTTATAGACTCATACTCACTGTGTATTTTTTCAGGGCAATCACAGTTCAGGACAACACACCTAGAGTCTTGGTTAGGAGGTTTCAAATTTTGTTTAGGCTTAGGGTGTAACTTTTTTTGCACTTGATTTCATCAAAATGTTAAGTCATTGGCTATAAATAGTGGTTCTCATTGTTTTTCAGCTTTTCTTAAGTAGAACAAAAGATAATGTGGACCAACCAATGAGAATTCTATAAAGACCTACTATGTGCCAGAATTTGGGGCATAAAGGAACTTTTTACCAGTTAGTCTAACATGTAGTATACTAGTAAAGGAATTGAGATGTGAAGAACTCTTAAGAAAAGTATATAAAGAAAACTTTGAAAACCAAAATATTTTACATATAAAAGATTTTTATTGTCTAATATTGTGTCGTGTCCATGTATGGGCTCAATAAGTACAGTACTTAAATTATATATATCCTGTTGTTAAAAAGCTCACAATATAGGGGGGAAAATATTTACACAGGAAAAACAAATAGAGTTTCTAGATAACAAAATGTCTTATAAAACTCTGATAATTAAAACAATGTGATCCTGGTATGGGAATAAACATTCAGATTACTGGAATACCATAAACCTCTATGAATAGAGTAAGAATTTAATTTATAATATAAGAGACAAGGTTTTATGGTGACAAAACCTGCTAATATTTTAGGGGGAAAGTTTGATTTCCTACCACACAGCTTATACCATAAGAAATCTTAGCAGGGTTAAACACATGAATGGAAAAACACATGATATGATAAATAAATTAATAGAAGAGTACAGGTTAATATTTTATTTTGGAATTCAAAGTCTTTTAAAGAACAATGCACCAAGAAAAATGCCATAAATTTAAAAATTTTGAAGTTGGACTACAAAATTTTTAATTTAAATTTACATGTCACAAAGAAAGCATACATATTCCAAAGATAAAGAACCTAAGAAATAATTAGGGAGTGTTAAAATATTTATCTACAAGACGTTCATTACAAGATATACAAAATGCGTGTGTGTGTATTTAGATATAGACATAGATACATGAATGTATGTATAAAAATGTAAGAGAAAACCATCAATACATTAACAGTAGTTATATATTCTGTTAGTAGGATTATAGTAGGGTCTGTATTATCTATCTATTGAGAGATATGTATTTGAAAGTACATATTTACTTATTTGGTAATTTAACTCCTGGTAAACCGCCACTCGCCATTTCATTTAATTTTCAGAGCAACAAGCACATCTCTTAACATGGATTAAGGCTATAGGTTTAGTACCAAAACAGAGTGGAATGAAGCAGGAACACTTCAGAATTCTCTACTCTTTCCACAATTTGTTGCAATTTCATTGTTACTTTCGAGGCAAAATAGCTGAAATGACTACATATCTGCAGATAGATTATTCTTTAATTTCTTCATTTATTCTACAAAAGGAATGTCAAACCTTACTGCGTTTAACGTAAGTAGACTCTACTTTGGATGATTTAAAGTACTTTTAATGTTGACTTTAGAAAAGAACCCTATATAAATGCAGCTCCACTCTATAGGTGAGTTTATTTATTTATTTATTTTAACTTTTTTTAATGTGAAAACAAACTCAGTTTGGTTTTCTTCCCTTTTTTTTTTTTTTTCTTTTTCCTATTTGCAACATTGGGAGGCTTTAACCCATTTCAAGTGACAGGAGGGAACAGCACTCCCCGCAGGCGAGCCTGGAATACTGTCCCCCCAGAGGAGAATGAGGAGGACACTCTGAAGGAGAGGGCTTTCCTGGGGCTAGTGATTCTGTTTCAAGATTGAGTGATAGTGAAATAGGCAGTTTCTTTGCTCAGCATGTGAGGTGAGAATTGGGAAATCCACCAGAACAAGAAGGGGCAAGCCGGAAAGTCACCTGACAGGTCCCAAGACTTTGGGAGGCGATGCTGGGAAGGCAGCCCTCCAGAATGGGAGAAGACAAGAAGGGCCTGTTTGAGGGACACCATTCAGGTGGCGAGGAGGTGGCCGGTGTCCACCAGCCAACTGCCCAGACTGCAGAGTAGGCATCTCCTATTGCCCGAGCAGCGGGCCCCGCCGGGCCGTCCTCCAGCAGGTGCTGGGGCAGTGGGCCCCTGCGCAGCCTCACCGGTTATCTGGCCATCAGGAGGGGTGTCATCTATATCATCCAAGTTAGGTCCCTGTAATACTGCTCGGTATGGACACCCTCTCCTTGCTATGTCACAAGATATTTTTCAGCTCAGAAATTATGTTTGGGTGAAACAGCAACTCAAAGTACTGTAAAAATAGATACATAGATTAGATAGATAGATAGATAGATAGATAGATAGATAGATAGATAGATAGATGATAGATAGATAGATGATAGATGATAGATAGATAGATAGATAGATAGATAGATGATAGATAGATGATAGATGATAGATAGATAGATAGATAGATGATAGATAGATAGATGATAGATAGATAGGTAGATAGATGATAGATAGATGATAGATAGATAGATGATAGATAGATGATAGATAGATAGATAGATAGATAGATAGATAGATAGATAGATAGATAGATAGAAGATAGATAGGGTGCTTGGAGGTGGGGAGCTGAAACCCCATGTTGGTGGTGATGAGAGGACTGAACTGAGTAACTGGAAACATCTGGGCTGGAATATGGTTGGCGACACCCCTGACGTATGTATTTTCTAACTTGTGTAAAAAATAAATAAGAAAAACCTTAAGCAATGGGATAAATCACAGGGGGAAATATCTATAGATTTAATTATACATACTATAAGAACAAACAAACAAACAAAAACCCTCTGCCTCCAGAAACTACATTAACCAGATTAAAAAGCACACCAAACAACAGAGGGGGGAATAATTGCAACAACTGTCCCCTCCTTTGCCCCAGAGGCCATTTGTTTTGGTTAATTGCTGGGGTGACTGGGAATTGGCCTGCACTTTCTGAACACATGAATCCTGGGGCCTTGAAAATTGGGAGGTGTTGGCAGAGCTTTGCCTGTTCCAGTGGAAGACAGAGACAGCTTAGGATACTGCTCGTCAAAGCTCGGATGCCTCTAGGCCTAAAATGAGAACCCACTAGCTGAGACTGAGCAGAATGCGAAATTGAGGAGGGGGAGTATTGTAGTTTGATTTTTTATTAATGTAAACTAGATCAGAGACTTCATTTCTATAATTCTCTGTGAATTTTATAATGGCATGAATTAATGTGTTCAAATTTGGGCTTTTTCCAATGTTTTATTTAGGCATATTTCTAAACTTCTGGTGAAGTATATTGGATAAGGTAAATGACCAGAATTTGAAATAGAAAATAGCAAATATTACGGAGGTGAAGTATATGATAATATTAACCGGTTATCTGGGTAGCAGGATTATGGTGATTTTTTATTCTCATATGTGCTTTTTTCTTTTTCTCTATCTTTCAAATTCCTTGGTGTGCATATATTGTTTTAAAATACAAGCAAACAAATAATTTTAAATGATAACTAACCCACAGCACTGAAACACATCTATGCTTTTCTTATAATAACATTTGTCATCATTTAAAGGTTGTTATACTATTCTATGCTTAAACTGCACCTATTTGCTCAATGAGGGATATTATTTGTTGGAAAATTGTTATCTGTGCTGTGATAAAATCTGAAAAGCATAAGCCTCATAAACTGCCAACCTTTTATATTCTTCCTCATCACATTCCTTCTAAATGGGGTAATGACCTTGTCTTGGTGTTAATTCTTGCACACGGCCAGATTGCTGAATTTACCCAAGACAAGAGAACAAAACAAGTGAGGAGGAAACAAAGAAAAAGTGAAACAATTACCAACTTTTTAAAAGTCCCAAACAAATCCTGACATCATTTGAGGGCTATTGAATCTATGTTGTCATTTTCCTTTTAATAGAAAACATGGAAGGAGAAACCTCAGGTCCCCACTAACTAGGGGACGATGCCTGCACCAAAGTTGTGACGATTGGAGCAGGTCTCTTTCCGTTTGGCTTCTAGGACATCCATTTGCACCAGATGACTGTAGCGTAACAAAGGTTGCCCTAAAAGCCGGTCAATAATTTATGTGAAAGAATTTGTGGAATTTTGTTGTGCCCTGGTTTTCTTGTCAAAAGGGAGAACAAAACAAGCAAAAGCCCTGAAAGCGCTCTGAGATGAACGTTACAGCAGGTTCCAACTTTCAAAACAACCACCACCCTCAGCCAATGCGCTCCTGCGGTTTGGTCTGGGGTAAAGTTGCCAAAACTTACCGGCCTGTGGCTTCATTGTTCTGTGCTAAGGAGAGAGAGAGAAAGAATGAGACGGATTTTTAAAAAATTCTCTTGCTTGTTTTCACAGTTATTTTCCAGTCAGTGTGTTCTTCCAACTTGGCCACAACCCAACCTTGTTTCTAGAAATGGGGTTAGCCCTCTCAAAGGCTTACCATAAAATAAAATGTAGCACATCTTTGGCTGGCCTCTCTGGGCTGTTATTACGAATGAAATGTTCCAGGTTTTAGGCAGAACTTTGAGATTTTCAGAGAAATTTTAGGTCTTCTATCTCACCAAGATGAGACAATGAGTGAGCTGTTACTCCCCATTAAATAAGTGAAGAAAAAAAATCTGAAGGTTCTAGATAGTCTACAGGATACTAGGGGTTGGGACCTTCTGGCATCCAAGTCCTCCTCCCTTTTAATTCCTTGATGTGCCTTCTGGGGGCTCCACACTGTGGCCCAGCCCTCCCTCCCCCTGCCCTGGTGCAGTCACAGGCACGTGGCGTAGTCTCACCCGACAGGACGCTGCCTCCTAGGACTTGGGACCTTGAGTGTAACAAGACAAAGGGACAAGAGACATTTAATGTCGTCCCAGATTCCTCTCCTCTCTCTCTCTCTCTATGTGCACCCCTTTCATTTCTCTTTTTAAAAAATTCATTATTTATAGTGAAATCTAACTGACGTGCAGAGAAGTGCTATCTTTAATGTTTAGCCAATTATTTTAAAGTGAACACATGTATAACCACCACCCAGTCAAGAAATAATCCTTTGCCAGCCCCCAACATTCCTATTATACCCCTTCCAGATTGCAATTCTCCCCTTCCCCAGGGGAACCATTAGTCTAACTTCTGTAGTTATCACTCTCTTGCTAATTTTTAATTTTATCATCCCAATATGAATCCATAAACAGTATGGTTTACGTTTTGCCAGTTTTTGAATTTCTGTAAATGAAATCAGACACTATGTATTCATTTTGTATCTGGCTTTTTTCCGCTTAGCCTTTTATTTGTGAATTTTATCCCTGTGGTTGGGTGAACCTGTGGTTCATTTATTTTCATTGCTAAGTAGTAGTCTACTGTGTGGATCTAGCAGATACGTTCATCTATTCTACCACTGAAGTCCATTTGGGATGTTTGGGCTATTACAGACAAGGCCGGCATGAACAGTCATACATTTTACACTAATGAACATCGACACAGATTCATCTAGAGTAGCTATTGGTGAGAATGGAATTGATGAACCCCAAGTATTATGTATCTTCAAACTTACTACATAATGCCAAAGAGTTTTCCAAAGCAGTTGTTCCGGTTTACGTGACCACCAGCAGCAAGTGAGTATTCCTATCATGGTACACCCTCACCAACAATTGGGATTGTCGGATTTTTTTAAATGGAATTATCAAATGATGTACCCATTTGTTACTGTCTGTTTTGCATGGCATGAAAGTGAGCCAGAACATTTTTCTCACAGTATCATGAGCAGTGGGGCAGTACAGTTGGAGTGCTGACTTTTGATTTAGTCTGTTTGAGTTAAAGTCCCAGCTTACTGCTTAGCTGTGTGACCACAGGAAAGCTACTTAACCTCTCTGTGCTTCATTTCTTACATCTGTCATCTGTTAATTGGATAATATTAAGTAATAATGCCCAACCTCATAGAGTTATCATGAATATGAAATGATTTAATTAACCTAAAGCATTTAGAGAGTGCCTGGCATATAACGAGTACTATACATGTGTTCACTATTGTTATGGTAAAAGCAAAAGAATGTCTAGGATCAGATGTTGCTAAAGACTAATTAGAATGCTGATATATTGGAAGGAAAATAGGATTATTTACATATTCATTCCTTGATTTATTAATTCAACAAATATTTGGAGGACCTTGGGGTATGAAAGGATAAGAGACATAGTTGGCCCCCTCAAAAGACTCATGGTATAGGGAGAACGGTAGGTTCACAAACAACAAAGTTTGAGTAACAAACTCAACATGGTAAGTGTTATAATGGTTTCACGTACGCAGAGAAGGAAGCCATTAATTAAGCCTGGAAACAAGGAGTTGGAGTAAAGAAGGCTTTGCAGTGGTAACAGCAGTTGATGTGGGCTTCACAGTGTGACAAGAAGCTCCGCAGACAGAAATATGGGAGAAAGGACATTCTAAATAGTGGTAAAATCCTGGATTAAAAAAAAAAAATTATAGAA